CTGTAAATGTTCATTAAAATTAATAATAATAATAATATTACTTTGTGTATGATTTTGATCTGGATCATGACACCTGTGTAGAATTTATAGAAATCATGTATTGTTCACACCTGTGCTGGCTAGATCAAATAATGACCCATTTATAACCTAGTTGGGTTTTGGTTTTTCAATTGTGACTGCCATTGTTATAGGTGCTACCGGCATTGAAGACCGCCTCCAGGAGGGCGTCCCTGAGTCTATAGAAGCCCTTCAAAAAGCCGGTATTAAGATCTGGATGCTAACGGGGGACAAGCAGGAGACAGCTGTCAACATAGCTTGTGCATGCAAACTACTCGAGCCAGATGACAAGCTCTTTATTCTGAATACTCAAAGTAAAGTAAGTATAATGTGATTGGTTAAACGAGTCCTTCTGTTTTTGCAAAGCAGAAAGACCATTTGGGACTTGGTTTAAACCTGAAGTAAAACCCAGTAAACATTAGTTTCTGGGTAATTTATTTCATTCAGCAAATGTGCTCATGATTGAGAGGGGGCCATGTGCGATTCTTTAGGCTTAGCAGAAATAATAATAATTTGGGGGAATCATTTTTTTGGGGAAAAAAGCTTGCTTTTTTATTTATTTGCATTTTTCCTCTATATTTACTTTCTTGGATTATCAGGAACTTGGAAAGATTTAGCCCAAAATAACAAACTATAACAAATCCCGAGACAAGAATCTTCCTTCTTTTCAATTTGAGAGGAAATTATTGCTATTGAAATCAGGTGAATAAATTAATACAGTCATGGGCATTCAGAAAATGGACTCTCAGGATAATAATGCCCTCTAGTGGAAATTTGTAGTGAATGTTCCTGAACATCAAATGCATGGAAACTCTAAACTCATTGCCCTCGAATTGGAACTGACTCATCACTAACTCTTAATTGGATTTGGAGAGGCAGTAAATCACGTTGGAGGAGATTGTCTTTCTCCTGTGTTGTGCTAGAACATTCGAACTGCTAGAGAGGCGACCCCTTGGCTTAGTAGCACATTTTCTTACAGATTACACCTTTGTGCCATTGAATTGAGGACCACTCACAGTACCTATAAACAGCAGATTGGAACCTGCCGTATGCCGTGAAGCCTCAACAACTCTGACACTCTCAAGCCTATTGCTGCAGTCACTGTGTCAACCCATCTCTTAAGGGTCTTCTGCTCTTTCGCTGACCCTCTACCTTTCTAAGCAAGATGTCCCTTTCCAAGGAAGAGACACTCCTAACAACATGCCTAAAGCACCTGAGATGAAGTTTTGTCTCTCGGGAGCACCCTGGTTGTACAAGAGCTCATCTCAAAAGTATGAAGAGCTGTATTATAGGAAAGGGAGGACAGACAGATATACTTAGATACCCACATGTTTGCCTATGTCTGCGTATGTGTTTGTATTTTCAAGAAAAGAACAAAAGTTCTTTTAAAAAAAAGGTCTGGACTCCACTAGTTATTTTTCTGTTTTGCCTCCCACTAACCTTTAACACAAATGTTCTAATCAATCATATGTTGTTGTTGTTGATTGTCTTTGAGTTGAATATGACTAATAGTGACCCTATGAACAAAAGGCCTGAAACCCCTCTACAACTATCGACATTTATCAAAGTTCATAGAGTTTCTAGAGGCCTGTGGTTTAGAAAGTGGATGCCACTGCTGCTTGCAAACCTGTCATAGTATGTTATTGTTGTTAGGTGCCATTGAGTCGCTCTGTCTAACATGCTTTGGACGTATTGTAAAGAGGGACCGGTCCTTGGAGAGGGACATCATGCTTGGGAGGGTGGAGGGACAGCGCAGGAGAGGAAGGCCCTCTATGAGGTGGATTGATTCAGTGACTGGGGTAATTGGGATGGGTGTGTCAGAGACAGTGCGATTGGCACAGGACAGAGCGGAGTTTAGGGCTGTTGTACATAGGGTCACTATGAGTTGCAAGTGACTTGACGGCACCTAACAAAACAACAACAACGTGTACAGTAGCTCTGAACCCTTCCCTGTCTTGAGCCAGTCTCACTAGTTCTGATACATTAATCCCCATTGCCCCAGTCACTGTATCTTTCCATGTCATCCAGGGTCTCCCTCTCCTGTCCGACGAGCATGATGTCCTTCTCCAAGAACCACTTTCTCCTGGACATGTGCCCAGAGTAAGTGAGATGGAGCTTCAAAACCCTAACCTCCAAAGAGAGACTTGGTTTCACCCTCTCCAAGACAGACCAATTTGTTTCTTGGCAGCCCATGTTATGTTCCAGACTCTTCTCCAGCACCACAACTTGAAGACATCTATTCTTTTGTCATCCTTCATCCTTGTCCAGCTCTCTGAAGCGTTATGCTTCAAGTAATTGAGAAGACCATGGCCTGGATTAGGCACACATTTGTATCTAGACTGACTTCGTTGCTTTTCAGCACTCTGGAGAGGTCCATGATAGCAGATTTTCCCAATGCAATTTCTCTTTTGATTTCCTGACTGCTGGTATTAAGAGTGTTGATTGTGGATCTAAGCAAGCTGTAACAACTTCAATCTCTTTTCCATATAATATGGTGTGCCAGTTGGCCCAGTGGTGAGAAGCTTTGTCTTCTTGATGTTGAGCTTCAATCTATATTGAAGACTACATCTTTGAACTTTTGCAGCAAGTGTTTCATGTCTTCTTCAGTATCTGCAAGCAAGGTTGTGTCATATGCATATCATAGGTTGTTAATGAGTCTTCCTCCAATCTTGCTGCCACACTCCTCTTCATAAAGCCCTGCTTCCCAAATGATTTGTTCTGTATACAGATTGAAAAGGTATGGGGGCAGGATACATGCCTGATACACTCCTTTCCTGATTTTGAATCATGCAGTGCTTCCTTTCTCTGTTCTGAGGACTGCTTCTTGGTCCAAGTATAGGTTTCACATAAGCACAATCAAATGTTCTGAGATTCCTGTTTTCCTCAAGGTTAGCCACAATTTATTGTGATCCACACAATCAAGTGCCTTTGCATAGTCAATGAAACACAGATAGACAGTCTTCTGGTACTGTCTGTTTTCTGCCAAAATCCTTCTGACATTGGCAATAATGTCTGTAGTGCCATGAACTCTTCTAAACCCAGCTTGTATTTCTGGTAGTTCTCTGTCAATGTACTGTTCAAATCTTTTCTGGATAACCTTCAGCAGGATTTTGCTAGTGTGTGTTATTAGTGATATTGTTCAATAATTTCCACACTTTCTCGGGTCACTTTTTTTTTGGAATGAGAATAAATATGGATCTATTCCAGTCAGTTGGCCAAGTTCTTGCCCTCCAGATGTCTTGACACAAGTTGATGAGATGCAGGGCATCATGTTTGCTGAAAGACGTCGATTGGTATGCCATCAATTCCTGGAGCTTTATTTTTTTGCCAAGTCCTTCAGAGCAGCCTGCACTTTTTCCTTCGTCACCATTGCCTCTTGATCATATGTTATTTCTTGAAATTCTTCTGTGTCAGCCAATTCTTTTTGCTGCAATGACTCTGTATACTCCTTCCATGCAAGCTTTTAATGCTTCCTGGATCATTCCATATTCTGCTGATAGCATCTTTAAGCATTGTAGCTCGTGGCTTGAATTTATTCTTTAGTTCTTTCAGCTTAAGAAATGCTGAGCGAGTTCAGCCCTTTTGATTTTCCAACTCCAGCTCCTTGCAATTTCATTATAATATTTTGCCTTGTCTTCCCAAGTGGCCCTTTGAAATTTTCTATTCAACTCCTTAACTTCTTGATTTCTTTCCTATGCCATGGCTTCTCAGCACTCTAGTGCAATATTCAGACTCTCTTCTGACATCCATTATGGTCTTTTTTTCCTTTTTTGTTCTTTGTAATGACATTTTGCACTCTTCTTGAATGATATTCTTGATATCTTCCCACAGCTTATCAAGTCTTCATTAGTGTTTAAGGCTTTAAACCTATTCCTGAGTTGGTTTTTAAATTGATGGTAAATAGACTCAAGGTCAAGTTATTATTCCAATGGATATGATTTAACCTACTTTAGTTTTAATTTAAACTTGCATTTGAATAATTGATGATCTGTTTCACAATCAGCACCTGGCATAATTTTCACTGCTGATATTGACCATCTCCAAAAGTTCTTTCCACAGATGTAATCAGTCTGATTCCTGTGCATCCCATCACGTGAAATCCATGTGTATAAACTGTGTTTATGTTTCTAATGAAAGGTATTTGCTATGAATAAATCATTGATTGTACAGAATTCTATCATTCTATCCCCCTCTCATTTCTGTCACAATGTCCATATTTTCCGACTACTGATCCTTCTTCCTGGTTTCCAACTTTTGCATTTCAGTCACCCATTTTGGTTACATGTTGGTTGCATCTTGGTTACATGTTTGATCAATTTCTAACTCCAAGAATTAATAGAAATCATCTATTCCCTCCTCTTTGGCTCTGGTTGTAGGTGCATAAATTTGAATGATAGTGTTATTAACAGGTCTTCCTTGTATTTGTATGGATATTATCCTGTCACTCACATTATTATATTTCAAGATAGATCTAGAAATGGCCTTTTAAACTATGAAAACAACCCAGTTTTTCCTCACTTTTTAATCTCCAGAATAAGAGATCATATGATCATGGGATTAAAAATGTCCTATGCCAATCCATCTCCTTTCACTTAATACTCAATATGTCAATATTTATGCGTTCCATTTCTTTCTTTACAATGTCCAGTTTTTCTACTTTCATGCTTCTCACATTCCACATACTGACTGTTAATTTCTTCTTACAACTGTTTCTCCTCCTTTGTGTTTCCAAATTTGAGGGCTCAACTTCAGTTGCCATATCTGTTCGTCTACTCTAAGTGGGCTCTGCTATACATAGGGTTTTCAAAGGCAGTTAGTTATATTTCAGAAGTGTTTGGCCAATCCTTCTTCTTAATCTGTCTTAATTTGAATGTTCACTGTTAGAAGAATAGGCATCTCATTTTGCTCTAAGCTGTAATATTGGGGATCAGAGATAATGAGGATTGTACAGGCTAGAGCAGGATTCAGATCTGTTATCAAAGGCACTTAGCAACAAGTACCGCAGGTCTTGTATAGGCGTACCTCTGAGATACCGGGAGATTGGTTCCAGACCATCACGTAAAACTAATACAGCAACAAAGAGAGTCACACTAAATATTTGCTTTCCCAGTATTTAGACAAAGTTATGCTTCCACTGTGCCGGAGTCTATTAAAGGAGTTCTGATGTTGTAGTCTGCAGCGTGTTACACTGCTACCCAAGCTCTGCTCATCTCTGGTAATTTGAATCCACCAGTGACTCCACCAGAGAAAGTCGAGTAGTCGTTCTCCTTTCATTAAGATTTACAGTCTCAGAAAGCCTGTGGAGCGTCGTCATTATGGGTTGGAAGCAACTCAACAGCTGTGAGCCAGCGAGCAGTCTATTAAGTGTGAAATAACATTATGAAGAAGTTTGAAAGATTGTGAGAATTACCAAAATGTGGCACAAAGACATAAAATGAGCACATGCTCTTGGAAAAAATGGGACCAGTAGCTTTGCTCAATGCAGAGTTGCTGTAGACCTTTCATTTGTAAAATACATACAGTATCTGTGAAATCACAAACACGTGAAGTGCAAGAAAATGTAATGCCATATAATTGTGCATATTGATTATTTTACTTTTCCTCCCTGCTGTAACAAATATGAATGATTTTAACAAAGAATCGTCTAAATCTCATCTTTCTCCCTCTGAATTACTGGTTGGTGGATCCTAACTGCCTTGAGGGTTGATCTTTGGGTTAGGAGCAATTCTTCATGCAAAATGCACTTTATACTAATCTGGTCTCATTAACATAACAAATACAACACATTCCCAAATGGGATTTTAACTACTGATGTGCAGCACAACTTATTGCCATTGAGCCAGAACCAACTCATAGCTGACTCTCCAGTAGGTTTTCAGAGCCTATAAAGATCTACAACACATATTTTTTTGGGAGACACAATGGTTTTACAGTTTTTATTGCACCATGCCTATATGTATGATGTTGTTGTTGTTGTTATTATTATGTGCCATCAAATCGCTTGCGACTCATAGCAACCCTATGTACAACAGCCCTAAATCCTGCTCTATCCTGTGCCAATCACACTGCCCCTGGCACACCCATCCCAATTATCCCAGTCACTGAATCAATCCACCTCATAGAGAGCCTTCCCCTCCTGCGCTGTCCCTCCACCCTCCCAAGCATGAGGTCCCACTCCAAGGACCAGTCTCTCCTTATAACATGTCAAGAGTATGTCAGATGAAGCTTCATAATCCTCTTTTCCAACGACCAGTCTGGTTTAACCCTCTACAGGATGAACCTGTTCATTTTCTTAGCAGTCCATGGTATATTCAATAGTCATCTCCAACATCACAGCGCAAACACATCAATTCTCCTTTTATCCTTCCTAGTCATTGTCCAACTCTCGTGTGTGTGTTTGTGTGTGTGTGTGTGTGTGTAGTTCTTGTTTGTTGTTAATTGCCATCGAGTTGTAGGCGATTCATAGCGACCCTATGAAATAAAGACCTGAACATTGGTATAACTTTCATGGTTTCTCCAAGTTCATAGGGATTCTGGAGGCAAGTTATTTCAGAAGTGGACGCCACTCCTGCTTCCAAAATAAAATAAAAATATTTTTTCAACCTTTTCTTTTGAGCTCTTTTTTTTGTTATGTTCTGATGGCCCAGTCTGTAGGGAGATGTGCTACTAAGTCAAATACCATATCTCTCTCTTGATTGAAATCCACCAGCAGCACTGCTTCTGGGTGAAAGATGAATATTCTCCTTTCATGCAATTTATAACCTCTAAAGATGTGCTGGAGGGCCAGCTTTGTGTCGTCAGTTCCCACTCAGTGGCAGTGAGTCTTTTGTTGTAGGTAGAGAGATGCTTGATAAAACAAGTTAAAGAAAATGGACTCAAAGTAAGGAATTCTTCATGAATCACATATTTCAATAGACTTTGTGTGCAAAATTTAATTCATGTGCCTGGGCATACAGGTCCTCCTTAGTGGTCATTCACAGAATAATTTCTGGATAAGAATATGGTTAGTCTGGAGGAGAACTCTTTCAACAAATTATGGTTTTGGGTGCCTGCTAGGAGACTGTTCTTGGCATTACAGAGACAGAGATTTCACAGGTTTATTGAAAATATTATCTGCCTTCAAAGAACTCATTAACCAAGATGGAGTAAGGAGAGTAGAAGTATATGTGCAAGCCAGATGGATTAAGCACAGGGCTTATCTATGGAAAACAGCCCTATGGATGGCACTTAGCTTTAAAGTGGTGAATGATCTCTCACATCTGGCAAAGGAGATTGCTAAGGTGATTAGAAACTGCTTATTCGTGTCTAGCTTCAAGTGGTACCTAAGATGTGCCAATCTGCTATACTTTAGATATGCCTCTGGAAAACCATCACTAATAATATATCTAGATCAACATGTATACTCCGTGAAGGCAGGAAATTTTTTATTCATTGGTGTATCACTAGGACCTTTAATTGTTCCCACCATATAGGTAGTTCCCAGGAAAATCAATGAATACATGAATAAAATATTGATTTAAAATGAAGATACAAACCAGTGATTACTATTGTAAATATCAACTCTTTGCCATGCCTTACACTAGGAACTTTGTAGCTGATAATCCACTTATTCTTTGCTTCATGTTATACTGCAAACAACAAACGTTTTTTAGATGAGAAAATTTAAGTTCAGAGAGGTTAACCTTGATTAAGATCAAGCAGCTAGTAAATGACTAGAAACCAAGGAGTTTTTAAGATACACTAGTTGAAAAAGCAATGCACACACCTAAAGAAGAAATCTTCCAAATATTTGTTTGTTCTACAAGTGGAAACGAGATAGTTTCCATTCTTTTAACCCAACCAAACATACACCCAGAATTCCTTGTGGGAGAGCTGTGAGGTCTTTGAACACAATGGATTATTTATTCCTTGGCATTGCCTTGATGCAACAATTGTTAGTGAATGAAGATGACTGTAGGTGACTGTAGCTACGACAGAAACTACAACAGCTGACCTTCTTTGTTTTCTGTCCCAAGGATGCCTGTGAGAGGCTAATGAGCACAATTTTGAAGGAACTTCAGAAGAACAACTGTGCTTCCCCAGAGCACATACCTTTCAGTGAGGGTCTATCCTACCCTCCTGACTTTCAGAATTTGGGGTTCCGGGCTGGACTTGTTATCACTGGGAAAACCCTAGAATTTGCCCTGCAGGAGGGTCTTCAAAAACAGTTCCTGGAGTTGACTGCATGGTGCCAAGCTGTGGTCTGCTGCCGAGCCACACCTTTACAGAAAAGTGAAGTTGTCAAATTGGTCCGCAACAAACTCCAAGTCATGACTTTGGCCATTGGTGAGTAGAAATGGGAACTGACCCTCTGCTTCTCCCTTTCACACTGAACCAGAGGCGGATCCTTTGATCTGTTCTTCTGCTGTACTTCTGGGTGTCTTTCTCAATCCCCATCCTCCCATGTTTTTTCTTCCCTCTTTCTCTTTCCATCTTATTCCTTTCTCCCTTTTGCTCTATAAACTAATTTACCTACCATGAACTAGGTAATAGGAATGAGACATAGAAAAAAGTATAACAGGGATTTCTGGGTTTTATGTCAGAACTGTAACTCAGCTGTCTTAGATAAAGAAATGTATTGACTCACAGAATGAAAAAAATCCAAAGCCCAGCATCAAAAGAGTTGAATTTGGGAGGCAGGAACAATTATTTATTCATCCAGCTATATGTGAGTGCCTTCTAAGTAGTTGTTGGTGGTGTGTCCCATCGAGTTAGAACCAACCCATAGCTGACCCTCTGGGGGATTTTCAGAGGCAGTTAATAATATGGGAAGAGATTGCCCATCTTTCTCCCACAGAGCAGCTGGTGGATTCAAACCACATGCATTCAGAATTGTAGTGCAGCTTCTTACACTAGGACTCCAGACTTATTCTAAGAAAGAGAGATTATTGTTGTTAACGTACAATTGAATCAGGACTGATTCATAGTTGACTCTCCCTCCAATGGGTTTTCAGAGGCAGTAAGTCACATAGGAAGAGATTACCCATTTGTCTCCCATGGACCAACTGGGGGATCTGAACCAGCTCATTCCTTATCACTAGGCCACCAGAGCTCCTTAAGAAATAAAGAGTATATAAAATCAACAAAGTGGCCTTTCTTATGAAACTTGCATTCTAGAAAGAAGGATATATTTAGTAAAACAACACAAAGATAAGTAACATAGTTTATCAGTATGGTATGCTGTGGAGGAAAACAAAGCCGGATTATGAGAGTGTGGAAGGATGGGGATGGAGAATGATACTGCTAGTAGTATCAAAATAGCATTTTAAGAGTCCATATATGAGCAAATGAAGGAAATAAGGAGGCTTGGTTTATGAGTGAGTGATCTAAGAGGAGATCATGCTTGACTCAGGGAAAGCAGATTCTATGAGATGGACCATATCTGGTGTGTCCCAGACCAGAACACATTGTGGTAGGTTGCTCTTTGTAAGAGACTATCAGAGATGGGGTAGGTGGTAAGGATACTTAGGACCGCTCCTGCCTGAGAAAAATAAGGAAGCATTGGAGTTTGAGCAGAGGGACATACTCTACCTTAGGCTTAAAAGGATCATTTACTTAATTCTCACTTTAACTCCAAACTTAACTCTGACCCCACCCACAACACTGGCCATTAAAGTGGTCCTAATGCCAGCTCAACTGTAGTGCTAACCTTAAACATAAACCTGTCCTTACTCTGAATATTGAACTTAATCATAGTCCTAATATTAAACTGAACTCTATTGTTAAAAAGAGTCTAGTCCTAACTGTCCCTCTGACCTAATCAATGTGGCCAGGTAATATGTTTTGAAGGAGGAGTGGTGACATTAGCTGATGAATTCTATTTGCTATATGAAATAATTGTTAAAAGTAATACCAGCATTTTGTCTGACAACAGAAAAGATGGTGTTGCCCTGTATAAAGATGGAAGAATGAAGATCTTGTTGAACTTGAAAAGTACCTACATGCTCATATCCAGTAGGCAGTTGGCTATAAAGTCTTTCATTTAGAAATGAAAAATTGGCTAAATATGTAAATTTTTATTTTATAAGTCTAATTTAGGGATTAGTCAAAAGGAATTGCTCTGCCAACCCAGGAAAGGCTCATGGTTCAAATCCACCAGCTTGTCTGAAGGAGAAAGATGGGCAATCTCCTTCAATGTAATTATCCTACCTTTGAAAAACTGCTGGAGGATCAGCAATGAGTTGGTCTTGACTCCATAGTATATAACAACAATAAGTCTAATGTTGTCATGAGTTACTGAGTCAGAACTAACTCATTGCTAGCTGTCCAGGGGGTTTTCAGAGGCTGTAAATCATCTAGAAGGAGATCGTCCATCTTTCTTCCATGAAGTAGCTAGTGGATTCAAACTGTGAGCCTTTAGGTTGGCAGAGGAACTCCTTGCCACTAAGCCACCAGAGCTTCCTTATAAGTCTAATTGTGATATCTAAAGTTTTGATATGAAATGAACTCACTGGAAAAATGGGTCTAAGTTAGAAAAGATATTTAAATGTGAGACTCTTCACTGTTTAGAGTTAAGGAAGACTTGACTTCAAATAGTCTCTCTCCATCTCTACTTTCCCCTAGCTTCTATCCAGTCGCAAGTGGTCTTTTCCCCATAGTGGTAATGTAGCTGTTAGAACTCCCAACTTCTATTATCTCCCATTAGCAACCCTAGAGAAAATATCACACATCTTTTTTGGTTTCTTTGGTAAAATGTCAGGGTTAGGGTTCAGTTTTCCTTAATGTGTCATATAAATGAATGAGTCGCTCAAGATCCTGGTCACAGTCTGAGTGGTTTTCTTAGAAAAAAAAAAGAATAAAGTTATTTATAAAAAAAAAAATCCTGGTTCCTGTTGTTCCTGATGCTGGAACCCCTGAACTTTTCAATTATATTCATGAAATTGAGCCACGCAGCCATTCCTCACTGTTGAGGCCGAAGAAAAGACGATGACGATTGAGAGGTCTGGATTGAATGCTTACCTATAAATGTGGTGGTTTAGCTTTAACATAATAACCCACATGGGCCCAAAATATCCTCGCAACATCAGGATAATGCTTCCAGGAAACAATCAAGCAGCTGGAGGACAAATTGGAAACAACAATTACCCATATCAGTAAGAATGGGATACCTCTCTTACGAAGCATCTTGTGTATGAGGGAAACCAATAATTCTATATGTAACTTTATTATGTAATCATGTAATACAGTGTACTAAACATACACATAGGGAACTCTGGTGGCAGAGTCCATGGTGAATGGTACCGGTAATCATAGGCAGTGCCTCTCTGCTGATTCAGATTCACCACTGGCTCTGCAGAAGGAAGATAGATTATCTCCTCCTCTGTGATTTACAGTCTCATAAACCCAGTCAAGAGTTGGCTGGCAGTTGATTCTGATTCCATTGCAGTAGGCTGTTTTGAATTGAAAGACGTACCTTTGATGAAGGGGAAATGGATCACTTCTGTAGGAAATATGGAAAGGAAGTGTTCCTAAGGGAAGTAACATCTAAGCAGAGAATATGAACAGCTGAAATCCATCAAGGTGTTGTACATGATGGGGGTAATACTGAACAGACAGTACGGAGACATCACGTACAATGGCTAGCAGGAACAGGGCACATTTAGAGAACTGAAAGTAAAGTAAGTGGCAAGGGGAAAGGCGTGCAGATAGATGCCATAGCACTAAGGACTGGAAGGCAGTCCTCAGGAATTTGGACCTTTTCCTGATGTCAGTAAGATGTCTCATTCAGTTTGTGCTTAATTAGCTCTCAGGTAATATTGAAAAAAGGGATTTTTTTTTCCTTTGAAGAATTTGTTTGCTTTTGTGGACATATTGTTTGCTTTTGATGTGCAAAGTTCATCACATTTTCCTTCATATATTCTTTTGACATTTTTTCCCTGTCTCGTAAAGGTGATGGTGCCAATGATGTTAGTATGATCCAGGTTGCAGACATCGGAATAGGAATCTCAGGTCAAGAAGGCATGCAGGTGAGTGAATGTGTATACCCAATTACTGTGACTTGGACTTGCCCATCCAACGGCCACATTCTCCATGATAAGATCTCTGTAGTAAACTAAGGCTGCAGATACCTCAGGATTGGGAGGTGGGAAATTAACCTGTTCATTAATTTATCTATTGTTTACTAAGCATACATTATGTGCCTCTCTTTTCCTAGCTTATGTTAGATGTGCTGTTATTTTTTAAAACATCATCTATGTACATCATTGTTGTTGCTGATTGTCATTGAGTCAAGCATGACTCATAGTGACCCTATGAACAAAAGACCTGAAGCCTTTCTATAACTATGTTCATTTCTCAAAGTTCATAGAGTTTCCAGAGGCATGTTGTTTAGTAAGTGGTTGCCACTCCTGCATATTTTTAGTCTTGCAATAAATATATAAATTCTGACACAGAAAAAAGATGAAGATTTGACTAAATAACCTCAAGTTTTTGAGAGCAAAACAAAAGGAATGAGAGGAGGAAAAATGAAGGAAACTGGAAGTGTCCAGTTTGTTCTTTCTCTGCTTATACTCGTGTTTGGAACAAAGAAATCTGTAACTGACTGTGATCAATTAGTTGTGGCCTCCACTGCACTCGGACCAGCCTATACTCGTGTTTGGAACAGCAAATTTAGATAAAATTTTATCACCAAATAGACTCTTTCTTACATATGGAGTATGAGGCTTAGGGTTTCCTGAGAATTACAAATTGTGTTATTTCTATGCAAGTTGAAAAAAAATCCAGCTAGCCCTTTGCTAGGCACATTATACAGTCATAGAAAGCCAATTCTGTGATAATTCTTATTATTCTTCTCATTGAGGGGAACTGGAATGCACATTGTAAGGATCAAGATAGGGCTTTTGCAAAGAGCTGCCTTTTCTGGTAAGTTTATTTGCTGAAACTATTATCATGTGTAGTAAGTATTGGAAAGCTGAGTAGTAGCTCCAGGCAACCCGTTAAGCCTCTGTATCCATGAGCTTTCAAGCAACAGGTTTGACTGATCAGAGGCTGGCAATGGTCTGGTTGCCCATGACCTAACATGTTTGACTAATCAGGGTAGCTTTCTCTGCTTTTGTCTCTGCAGGCTGTAATGGCCAGTGACTTTGCCATTTCTCGATTCAGACATCTCAGCAAGCTCCTTCTTGTCCATGGGCACTGGTGCTATACACGACTTTCGAACATGATTCTCTATTTTTTCTACAAAAATGTGGTATGTGAACTCCAGCAGATACATCCCTTTCCCCCATCCAATCACGGCTGCATGAAAGCTGGAGAGAAAGTGTCCTGCACTAAGCCGACGTTGCCTTGATGGGTGGAAGTAGCCAGGAGCACTCCTGCTGTCTTTCCTGAAATAATTGGAGAATGTATGTTTCAGCTGCTGACAGCAAATTGCTAGGCTTGTCCATCTGCTAGCATTTTCTTCTCCCTATGCATTTAAATTCAATTAAGCTCTGTCTGGTTCATTTAAAATCCAATTTTTGACCTCCCATAAATAGGTTGTGACAAGCAGAATTGTAAAATGTTTAATATTGCCTGTCACTAGGGAAGAAAAAGGTTTGCTTCCATTTTTTAATAGAGGATGCCTAAAAATGTTTGCTGCCCCCAAAATGATATTCCTTGTGGTTTATAGAAAACACAGATGTAGATGAAAACACAATGCTGTGGTTTACACTTAGAAATGCAAAAATTATCTAGCAAAACAATATGTTTGTATATTTCATGCATATATGATGGTAAAGAATTCTGTGCAGATTTTGTAACTCCTAAAGACAGAATAGTATGAAACTTTTAGCTTTTTCTGGTATAAACTTTGACACACCATTTAGAGGTCCATTTCCTCTTTTATAGAATTATATTAAACTAAATCCTTCACTTAAGTTTCTTCTAGGCAGAGAGATGTAAATATGGCATTTTCTTTTTTTTTAGACCAAACTTACTCTTTAAAGCCTTTATGGATATTCACCTCAACTCTTCATTGTCAAGTCAGAATTGACTCATAACTGACCCTCCAGGAAGGTTTTCAGAAGTAGTAAATCTACAAGAGAAGATTATCTTTCTTTCTTCCACAAAGCAGCTGGTGGATTCAAACCATCTGCCTTTAGTTTGGAAAGGAAACTCTCTACTTACTAAGCCACCAGGGTTCTCTCTGTATGTAGATTGCTTATATTACATGTAAATGCATACTATTGCTGTTATATGTCCTGCAGACAGAACTAAACCTTCAGGGTTTCAGAGGCTATAAGTCACACAGGAGTAGATTTTCCATCTTTCTCCCTCAGAGGAATTGATGGATTTGAACTGTCTACCTTTGGATTGGCAGTGCAACTCCTTACTGTGTAGGTCACCAGAGCTCCCTAAGTTTGTACTATTGAAGTACTAAGGAGCTTTGATGGTGCAATGCTATACCAATAACCAGAAGGTTAGCAAACTCATAGGTGGCTCTGAGGGAATAATGATATGGTGATCTGCTTTTTGTAAAGATGACAGCCTAGTACACACTATGGGGAAATTTTATTCTGCCCTACAGCATTGTATGAGCTGAAATAATTTTACTGATTACAGTAACATGGAAATCATGTATTTCTTGAAAAACACTGGATCATGTTAGGGTTCTCACACGTGTCATATGTGTCCGTGTGTCTGTGTATATCTGTCAACAAGATCATTCTTCTTGAAGCACAACATCTCAGTGGTTCGGTCATGGCCACTTCAAGGGTAATAAGGAAGGGAGGTGATGCAGAAGATTGTATTCTTTACTATCATGATATATAAAGGATAGTCAGAATTAGTATTTATCTGAAGCTTAGTAAAACTTAGACACTTTAAGAAAACATACTCAATTCTTAAAGTCTCTTCCTAAGTGTGTGCTGGATATAGTGCATTTCAAGGAGTTTGGGGCTGATTAAGTAAAAGGATAAGACTGAAGTCTAATTATTGAGGCTGAAGCATTGGCAGCCAGGGGACAAGGTGCCTACAGCAGAGGCCTGCCAGAGACAAGCAGTGTGGCAGACACCAGAAGAAGAGATCATGAAAAAACCTGCAGGAGAGGATTCTCACTTATGTCTTGATGACCTTCTCTTGTAGTAAGATAGGGAATCTCTGGGGCAGAGAACACTGAATGATAGACAAGCATAGGTACGATCGCTCCCTAACTTTATGCTGATAGTGTCCCCTGAGTTTTTAATTCTTAGTTTGTAGGTCAGAAAGATCAAATTTAAACATAGAACTGACCTCAGGTTACACGACCAGTAAGAAATCAGTCCTTGAAATCACACTCCCTAAATCAAATGGCCTCGCCTATGGCTTGCTTTGCTTGAAAGCACAAAGCCCTTGCTGTAATAGACACAGGTTGTCTGAAACAAAACACTGTGGGATGGTTTAACCTGTCCTCTAGGGTGGCCAAGTGTCCTGATTTGCCTGGGACTGTCCCAGTTTTGCCATTGACAATCCCACTTCCTGAGAATCATCTAGGTTCTAAGCAAACTGAGACAATTGATTATCCCGCCAGCTAGGCATTGTGAAATTAAATGAAATAGATTGGCATAGAACATTTTATATCAGATAACTATATGATCTACTATGCTGGAGATGAAAAGGTGAGGAAAAATGGGTTGCATTCAAATTAAAAAAAAACATTCCTAGATCCATTCTGAAATACAATGTAGGAAGCCAAAGGTAATATCCATATGCATACAGGGAAAACCTGTTTATACCACTATCATTCATATGTATCCACCATTAACTGGAGGCAGGAATAGAAGATTGGTATCCACTTTTGCAGTCGGAAATAGATCAAACATGCAATGAAGATACAATAATAATAATATGTGACTGGAATACAAAAGTTGGGAACAGAGAAGAAGAATCAGTTGGAAAACATGGACTTGGTGACAGAAATGAGACTGGAAATAGAATGATAGAATTTTGTACAATCAATGACTTATTCATGGCAAATACTTTTTATAAGAAACACGAACAGTGTCTATACACATGGACCTCACCTGCCGACCTACATAGGAATCAGATTGGTGACATTTGTGGAAAGAATCAATGGAGAAGCTCAATATCAGCTGTGAAAACAAGACCAGTTGCCAATTGTTGAACAGTTTGTCAGCTGTTCAAATGAAAGTTCAAACTGAAGCTAAAGAAAATTGAATCCGCAAAAACCAACATTTGACCCTGAGTCTATGCCATTTGAATTTGAAAAAAATTTCAAGAACAAGTTTGAGGCCTTGAACACTAGTGAACAAAGATCAGATGAGCTATGGGAGTGATATTAAAAATATCATCCATAAAGAATGCAAAAGATCATTACAAAGATCGAGGAGAAAGATAAAATTGATATGGATGTCAGAATAGATTCCTTTTGCACTAGAATGCCAAGAAGCCAAGACAAAAGGAAAGAATCAGGGAGTTAAGGAGCTGAGCAGAAGATTTCAAAGGGCAGCTTGGGAAGATAAAGCAAAATATTATAATGAAATGTGCAAAGAGCTGGAGTTAGAACATCAAAAGGAGTTAACCCACTTGCCATATCTTAAGCTGAAGGAACTGAAGAACAAATTCAAGCCTCAAGTTGCAATACTTATAAATGCTATGGGCAGAAAAGGAAATGATCCAGGAAGCATTATAAGAAGATGGAAGGAGTACACAGAATCTCTGTATCAAAAAGAATTGGCTGATACAGAAGAATATCATGAAATAGCATATGGTCAAGAGGCCATGGTGATGAAGGAGGAAGTTAAAGATGCTCTGAAGAAATCGGCAAAAAACACCAAGCCCCTGGAATTGATGGAATATCAGTTGACATATTCCTATATATAGATGCAACCCTGGATGTGTTCACCTTGTGTGAGAAAATCTGGAGGACAACTCCCTGGCCCACTGATTGGTTAAGATCCATATTTACTCCCATTTCAAAAAAGAGATGATTCAACACAGTGTGGAAATAATAAAACAATATCACTGATATCACATGCAAACACAGTCTTGCTGAAGATTATTCAAAAATTACTGGAATAGTACATTATCAGATAACTACCAGGAATAAAAGCTGGGTTTAGAAGAGGCCACCAGCACTAGAGACATCATAGCCAATGTCAGATGGATCTTGGCCGAAAGCAGAGAGTACCAGAGGAATTTCTATCTGTGTTTCATTAACTATGCAGTGGCATTTGACTGCATGGATCACAACAAATTATGGCAAACCTTGAGAAGAATGAGAATCCTAGAACACTTTATTGTGCTCATGCAAAGCCTATACATTGACCAGAAAGCAGTTATCAGAACAGAGCAAGGAAACCCTGCATGGTTCAAAATCAGGAAAGGAGTGTGTCAGAGATGCATCCTGTCTCCATATCTATTCAATCTATATGCTGCACAGATCATTCAGGAAGCTGAACTTTATGAGGAGGAATGTGGAGGAAGACTCATCAAGAACCTGTGTTATGCAGATGGTATAACCTTGCAGAAACTGAGGAGGACCTGAAGCATTTGCTGCAGAAGGTAAAGGACTGTAGTCTCCAATGTGAATTGAAGCTCAACATCAAGAAAGCAAAGGTTCTCACCACTGGACCAGTTGGTAACATCATAGATGGAGAAGAGATCTTCTAGATTGTTATCAATTTCAGCTTGTTTGGTTCCACAATCAACACTCTTGGCATTAGCAGTCAAGAAATCAAAAGACAAATTACATTGGGAAAATCTGCTGTCAGGGACCTCTCCTGAGTGCTGAAGAACAAGGATGGCAGTCTAGAAATTAAGATGTGCCTGATCCAGGCCATGCTCTTTGCAATTACTTGCTATGTGTCAGAGATCTGGACAGTTGATAAGTATGACAGAAGAATTGATGCCTTTGAGTTGTGGTCCTGGTGAAGAGAACGGAACATACTATGACCTGTCAATAGAACAAACAGGTCTGTCTTAGAGTGGGTGAAATCAGGTTGCTCCTTGGAGACAAGGATTTTGAAGCTCCGTCTCACATACTTTGGGCATGTTTTCCCAGAATGACAGGTCTTTGGAGAAAGTCAGCATGCTTGGAAGGGTGGAGGGGCAACACAGGAGAGGAAGACCCAGGATGAGATGGATTTGAGATAGTGACTGGGGTCATGGGGGCAGGTGTGTCAGACACAGTGAGATTGCCTCAGGATAGGGCAGGATTTCAAACTGTTATGCATAGGGTCACTATGAGTGACTTGATAGTACATGACAACAATAGCTCTAGCTGACTGTACCATTGGAACGTAAGTACGAATTGAGCATTTATTGTGGAACTCTAGTAATGTAGAGCATTACTTGTTGTGTTGTAAACTGAAAGGTCAGTAGTTTAATTTATTAGCTGCTCTATGGGAGAAAAGTGAGCAATCTCCTTTCACAAAGTTTTACTGTCTTGGAATCCCAATGGAAGATTCCCAAGAGTTCGAATCAACTCTATAGCAGTGGGTGGGTTTTGTGTGCTTTCCAAGCACTGTGATAATAAATATTTTTCCTCTTCATCTAGAGATAAAATATCTCAGCTTGAATATTTGCTTTGGCTTTTTTATCTGGGTTACTATGGGAAACTTTTTTTTGCCTCTCTATACCTCAACTTTTTTTGTCAGTAAAATGGGAACAATACTAGTTTCCAAAACTGTGAAGCTCTTAGTACAATACTTAGCATCAGTGGTATCTCTCTCTCCATGTGCACTGTTTAGTAAACCATTTACCCGAGAAAAAGCTGCAAGATAGATTGCGGTCTCCTATTTCATAGGTGAGGGAAATTGACTGACAAAAAGACTGAACTCACACAGTAGAAGATGGCCTGTGTGGAATGTGTATTCCTAGCACAGGTCACTGTTTCTAAGATGCCAATGTTCCTTTTTGTCTCCCTAGGCCTATGTGAACCTCCTTTTCTGGTACCAGTTCTTTTGTGGGTTTTCAGGTGCATCCATGACTGACTATTGGGTTTTGATCTTCTTCAACCTCCTCTTCACCTCTGCCCCTCCTGTCATTTATGGTGTTTTGGAAAAAGATGTATCTGCAGAGACACTTATGCAGCTGCCTGAACTTTACAGGAGTGGTCAGAAGTCAGAGGTAGGTGCTAGAACAAATCCTTCAATGGATATACATTCGTTTGTCAACACCAGTGCATTTTCTAATGAGCCTAGAGGGTTGAACATACTGTGACCTGCCAGGAAAACAAACAGGTCTATCCTCGAGAGGGTGAAAACAGGCTGCTCCTGGAGGCAAGGATTTTGAGGCTCCAAGTCACATACTTTGGGCATGTGGCCAAGAGGGACCAGTCCTTGGAGAAGGACATCATGCTTGGAAGGGTGGAAAGACAGAGCAGGAAAGTCTCTAGATGAGATGGATTGATTTAGTGACCAGAGAAATGGGATTAGGTCTGTTGAAGATGATGAGATTGACTCAGAATAGGGCAGATTTCAGAACTAATGTCCATAGAGTCGCTATGAGTTGCCGGCGTCTTGATGGCACATAACAACAGCAACAACAGGTCAAATATGATGGTCGTGGAAGGATTATTTTAAATGTCTGGTCATTTAAAAAGATTTCTAGTAACACTGTAGATATAACTGCTCCTGACATTAATTCACGTAAAAAAATGATAAAATGTTTTAGATATGTATAGGAAAATTTCCTTTATTTGGACTTCACAATGAATTGTAGTTGTTTTATGCCATCAAATTAACTACAACTTATAGTGACCCTGTGAACCTTGCCCTATCCTGTGCCGTCCCCATATTCTCCACTGTACTCAACCCCATTGATAAAGTCACTGTGTCAGTCCGCATCCTTGAAGGTCATCCTCTCTTTTGCCGATCAAATGAGTAATGTCTAGCGTTCATGGAACTCCTGTTCTATCCTTTTGGGCTAAGAAAGAAATATGTCCTGACCTAGTAGCCTAGTGGTTGTGCTTCCAACCTAAAGGCAGGCAGTTCGAATTCACCCACAGCTCTTCAGGAAAAAGATGAGAGGTTTCCTCCCTTGCTATTTACAGCCTCTGAAAATACACATTGGTTCTGACTCCATGATGATGAATTAAGTTGGAGTTGAGTAAATGCATTGTTCTCAAGTGAGGAATCAGAACCTAATGAGGTTTTCCAAAACTCTCAGAGCCAAAATTTGGTAGATCCCGGATGGGACTCCATTTCCCTCAGGTTACAAAGCCAAAATTCAAATGTTCAGATTGCCATTGCTAATCATTCAAGAAAAGAGTCAGTAAAAGTCATTCTCCCCTTTCATGCTTGAGACCTGGGTTCGATCTCCAGCTACTACACTACAAGCACAACTACCACCTGTCAGTAAAGGACTGTGCATTGCTATAATGTTGAACAAGTTTCAGTGAAACTGCCAGATGAAAGACCTGGAGGTCTACTTCTAGAAATTAGCCAGTGTAAACTACAATTGTCTTACCCTGTTATGTATGAGGTCATCGTGAACAGGGTCACAATCACATTAACAACTATCATTTAAACCATGAAATGATCTTAATTGCTCCTTCTCTCTTCAAATGCTAACCTCCACGTAGCTGGTAAGCTGAGTTAGTTACTATGAACAACGTCCAGTATCACAGAGCTAATAAACAATCATGGATGCCAAAGTCCATACTGTCTACCTTCATGCTGTGTGACACAGAAATATTTGTTTGTGTTATATTTTTACCCTGGATTCCCCTTTTGGTGTTCTGTGGATGATGCCTAAGATTCTACCACAAGTAATTTATCAGGATCACAAAGATGAGATGAACAGAGGAGTTATAAGTGGGCAAAATTGAGCAAAGATGACTCCATGAGCCAGATGCCTTTCATTTGCAAGTTGATAATGAACCCAGCTCAAATTGACTCATTTTAAAAGAGAGAGTTTATTGACTTAATTGGGTGGGAAATCCTGGTGACATGCCACTGTTTTTCTTAAAGCAGATGTAAATTTCTTGATTGTGATCCATTGGCTTGCCTGTGTTACCACTTTAGATAGAAAGGTAAGGGGTTTTATTCAGTATCAAGCCTACTTGTATCTATCTCTGAAGACAGAGATTGGATCATCCTTATTTGAATTATATGAACAGTATCGAGATGACAAGCTCCCTATAGAGATTCTGGTCAGACAAAAATAGACAAACCATACTAACAGTGAGTTTTGCGATTTGCTGCTGTCATGAAGACACTGTCCCAGAGTAACACATGTTTAAAAAAATCGCTTATGTTTAATCTGAATTCAATATGGATTCTATAGAGTATGGTGTTTGGAAGTTACTTGAATTTCCTATGCCTTGGTTTTCTTACTTTATGGGGATAAAGTAAGAGTTAAATAAGATGCATGCAAAATTTCTAGCTTAGTAAGCTTTCAGTATTGCTATTTCTATCCTCCAGAATTTACCATACACTTAGAGGAAATCCTCAACTATAAAATGGTGCATTTATTTTAGTCTGCTTTTACTCTGACTTGAATTACCTTACTACGTTGGGGAATAATTTAATGTACTTAGGCTATCTAAAGCAGCCTAAACAGAGGAGAAGTAATACATTTACATATCAGGGGAGAAGAAATTCTTCTAATCCTTTAATATCATCCAGAGGGAGTAAAATGTGTATTTTCCTAAAGGAGTCATATCTGACTTAAAGTTCAAGGACCAGGATGCAGGAATATATGGTTGATATCAATGAGGTTTGTCTCTAAATTCAGAGCAAGGTTAAATTCCAGGTCCTGTGGGGCACAGGGAATAAAAACTTCAGTCCAGGTTTTTATGACTAGTATTTTAAAAGCTCATTTGCAGACTGAAGACTGCAATTGGTCCTTACCCTCAGGAGAGTTGACGTCATTGTTTCCTGTTGTTAAACCTCGTTATCAACCTTTTGCACACATTGTCTATTGAGCTGGCCAATTTCATAATGCATGACAATAGGCAGATTCCCAGTATGTGACCATTGATTAAAGGTCATTGATTCCATTGACTTTAACTTCCAGAAGTGTCCTTTCCTTGAACTGGGATGCCAAACAAATTCCATTTTATGCTTGAGCCATTTTCTGTCTTCAGTGTCTTGAAATGTACTCTCCTGGGTAAACAGTTTCTCTCCCGTAAAGGAGTTGGGTCTGGAAGGCTGCAATTAGAGGGTTTTTTCCAAGAAGCAGTCATCTATTACCCATTGCTTATGACCTTCACAATCTTCTCTCGATTTAATCTTCAGATTTTCCCTTTCAGTTACCGGTAGATCCCAAGAGTTCAACCTTTCAGCCTCTCATTCATCTTACCAGATATCATTTTCTCTCCACTTTTCTAAGCCAAGTTACTCATGTGACTTGTGGGAAGACTGAATTTTTTACCTTTTGCCTACAGGGTTTTTGAGCAATTTCTATACCTTTGGAAACAAAAAGTTCTATTTTAACGTGTCATAAAATATTCTTGTACATTATTCTCTTGTCCAGTGGGACTTTGGTTGCCCCTTCAACTTCATAGTCTCCTGCACTATTTGGTTATGCTTCTCTCATAGAATATAAAGAGAGGCACGATTCCCCATCATTTCCAAAGAGGAAATGTTAAAAGAAGATGTAGGGAAATGTAGACTGAGATCAGTGAGTCTTTATTATTGATAATCCAGAGAACAAAGTTGCTGTTGTTTTTAAGTGCTATCTTGGATCCCTCTACTCATAGCAACACTGTGAACAATAGAATGTAACCCTACCCTATCCTGCGCCATGCTCACAATCTCTGCTTTGCCTAGCCCACTGTGTTGATCCAGCCTTTTGCTGTTATTCTGCCTTTCCAAGCAAGAGAACAAAGAGAAATTGGGGAGAAAAAAACATGGCTATAAACATGTTAAGGGTAGTCTTTAAAAACAGAAGAATATACATACATAATGTGTATGCCTATGTTAGAAATCATTTGGGTGACAAGAACATACTGTTCTTGACAAGACAGGAATACATTTGGAAGGATATTTCAGCCACATTTTGCTTTTGAAGGAAACAAGATTAAAAAGAACTTATTAAGAAGTTGATCCAAAGAGAAAGGCAGGAAGAGTAGAATAAAAATCGTTTAGAGACTTCCGCCCCCATTACATTCACCAGCTTGTGTATTTCTTCTTACTTCTTTCTCCCTCCCTTCTCACCCATCAGCTTTCCATGATTGATTCTATCTGTAAACCTTTTCTTAGTTTTTTATATGAAAAGCTTTCTACCATAATTGCCCTCTTGTGACTGACTTATGTCACTCAGCAACATTCATTCTAGATTCATCCATGTTGTCTTTCATTCTTTTTTTCTTTTATTAGTAAGTTCCACCTAGGTGAAAATGCAAGAATGTGCTTATATTATTCCTTGGCTTTGATCTGATCCTGGTTATTCTTATGCCCTCTTTGTATCTTGTTTGTTTTCCAGGCATACTTACCCTTGACCTTCTGGATCACCCTGCTGGATGCCTTTTATCAAAGTCTTGTCTGCTTCTTTATGCCTTACTATGTGAGTCCTTTTTTACTCATCATTTTTGTTATTAATCAATCAGTAATGTGCACCAGTATTTTGCAACCAGTATCAACATATGGAAGGGTAGATTGTGTTAATTATTAATTGACTGTATTATAAAAGGGAGCTCTGGTAGCCAAGTGGTAAGGAGCTGTGCTGCCAACCCAGTGTCATATTATTCGAATCCACCAGCAGCTACGTGGAAAAAAAGACAGCCATTTTTCTCCCTTGCAATTTACAGTCTCCGAAAACCCACCACAAAGTCAGTTCTAGTGAGTCAATTCTGAATTGAGAACACAAAACAACAATAATAACACCTAAAATATTCCAAGGATAGATTACTAAATGAATTAGATTCTGGTATAAGTGTCTACTTTGTATTTTTGCCTCTGAACCTGCTGAATTTTTAAGATTAATCAGACAGCAAAACTGATCAATCCCCATGTTAGTGGTCTATATAATTTATTTGTGTGTTCTCTCCTACAAGGTGGTATTTACCTTATTAATATTATAAGCAAGCTATTCAGTGCCCTTGATGTGCCACAAATGCCTTGTATTTGTATACTCCTACTCCTTGGAGAGGGACATCATGCTTGGGAGGGTGGAGGGACAGCGCAGGAGGGGAAGACTATGAGATGGATTGATTCGGTGACTGGGGTAATCGGGATGGGTGTGTCAGAGGCGGTGCGGTTGGCACAGGACAGAGCAGGGTTTAGGGCTGTTGTGCATAGGGTTGCTATGAGTCGAAAACGACTCTACGGCACATAACAACAACAACAACAACAACACTCGTTGCTAGAAAAGGCTCTTACTCAGAGAGGGACATATGCTTGTAAAGATAGAAGGACAATGAAAGAGGGCAGGACCCTCAATGAGAGAGATTGACACAGTGACTGTAGCAATATGCTCGAGTATGTCAGAGATGATGAGGATGGCATCGGATAGGACAAGATTCAGATCTGTTGTTCATAGGGTCACTATGAGTTGTAGTCCACTTGATGACACCTGACAACAGCAATAACCCAGTTATACAGTGAATGCCAAATCCAATGGCTAAGAAAACCATGTTGAATTATCCACTGTAGCACAATTGAAAACAACCCAATGGAAGAGTTCTGTTCTGAAACAAATGAGGTCACTATGAATTGAGATTGGCTCAATAGCAGTGCTTTGTTTTTAATTGATAAGCACTGGCTCGAGAAAGTTTAAAAACTTGAGAGTTGAGTCATATAAGGAATAATATCAGGACTGGAAGATATGTCCTTAAGGGAGAAGAAGATATTTACATTTAAAAAAAGATGAAAGAAACTCAAATTGACCATGATAACTGTTTTAAAGATTTGAAGTTCTACTAAATGGAAGATATTTGATATTTTTCTGTACATTAAACAAATAACCTATAAGTAAACTTTTCCAGATGAACAATTGTGGTTCAGAATTCAAAGTTCAAAGACTAGATTGTGTGTCTGGAAGAGATGCATTCTGTTTTGGGTTTGTTTTGTTTTTTGTTTTTTTTTTTTAATGGAAATGCTTATGTTTATCCTAAATAACCAATTCAATTATTATAATAGAAACCTTATAGAAGGAACTCAAACCTCAGTTGAGCTATAGGACAAAGAAATCATTAAGGGACTTTCCCTTGCCCAATACATGTAGTACCCTCCAAGATCACTGACTGTTCTCCTCTTTTTGTAGACCTACCAGGGCTCAGACATTGACATCTTTACATTTGGAAACCCTCTGAACACAGCAGCTCTTTTCATCATTCTGCTTCATCTGGTCATTGAAAGCAAGAGTTTGGTGAGTGGTTTTCCTGCAGCAGGAGTAGTCTGAAACTTTACCTTTGAGTACATATCATCTATTGACGGTGATCCAGAGTCCTTCATGACTAGAAAACAAACAGGAATGAGAAGAAGAATGACTCCATGGAAGAAGGGTAACACGGATGCTTTTGGTGGTCATTGGATACCATTAAACTGAGGTTGCTGCATGGCCAGGGAAATTAGACAATGCCTACCACATCCCCTTGAGGGTAACTATGGATGCTGGTTCATGGAGTTGTGAGTCAGGCTGAAATACGAATACAGTCATCCTGTGAGCCTTCATGACCAACCTGATGCTGCTCAACTAAGAGAGGTGTTGTGCTGTAGTCTTGTTACACTCGCTTTAGTAAATGACCTTTTGCCTTTCTCATAAAGCAGGTGGTTCAAGGCCACCAGCTGCTCCATGGGTGAGGATGGCCACTCTCTTCCTGGGTGATTAACTGCCTCTGAAAACCCACTGTAGGGTCAGCTATGGGTTGGTTCCAACTCTGTGGTACACAACAACAACACAATGAAAAAAGAATTATCTCTTTCTCTCTCCAGAATTTCTACCTTCTGTTTACTTGTGGATCTTTTTAAAACTGAGTTGTTGACTTACTGATAAAACTAAAGGGCTTTAATCAAAATGATTGTATTTCATTTCAGAGTTAATGTTTAAGACGTAGATAGTGAGCTTTCTTATCTCTTGGCAGATCTCAAGAAACATTTCTCTCTAGAGAAGAAACTACCTCCTTTGTGATTTCTTTTTGACACTTTCCTCCAATTATTATTGCCATCATCACTTTCTGAACTTTTCCACAGCCTCCTAATTTCTACTGTTGGCCCTCTCAGCCCTTGCTCCTCATAGTAACCAGAGTCATATTTTTAAAAATTTAAATTGACCCTTGTAATTTTTCCTTTCAATGGTTTTTCATTTCAATTGGAAAAAAAGTTAATAGACTTTATTATGACCTGTACGACTTCATGATTCCATCACTCATGCCCTAACTTCCCTTCTACCTTCATTTCATCCTATTGCAGGAATGGAACCATACTGTCTGTCTTTCAGTTTTTCAAACACACTGAGCTCATTATCATATCAGGACACTTACATTTACTATATGATTGGATGCAAATATTCTTAGTCCTTCATCTATTCCTGGTACCACAACTTTTTTTCAAAAAGGAAAATTCACTTGCTTTTGAGTTGATTTAGACTAATGGCAACCCATGTGTGCTTGAGTAAAACTGTACTTCATAGGATTTTCCATAAGTGATGTTCACAAGGTGACCATTAAGCTTTTAGTAGACTTTGGAGGGCTTGAACCTACAATCTTTTGGTTAGTAGCCAAACACATTCACGTTTTGAACCAACAAGGATTTCTTGAGCTCAAAAAATAAACCTATAGCTCACCAAAATTGATAGCTCTTCCCTACCTGTTTCTTTTTTTTTTC